CATCATAAACATGACACAACGGAATCTATACTTTTCAACTGGGAGAAATGTAGGTAATTTGTGACCAGAGGGCAGACTGTGGGGTTAGGGTGGCATGCCTTCCATCTAGAGGTGTGGTCAATGATCCCCGCACCTTGAATCTGGATAGAACTTTTGAGTGGGAGAGCTGGGATGAGGTCATACAGTGCCAGGTTGGACTCCCAAGACATAAGACACTGGCAGGTTCCCATTCTCATTGTTCAGGACACTCTTCTCATAAAGTTATAAGCTTCCACATACAAAGTCCAACTACTGTGATACCATCCTAATATGAAGAAGCCCAAGATGACTCTGTAGATGAGCTGTGTGGGGACAGTGATGCCAGCTAGTCCCCCGTGGTACAGCCACCCCAGGTCCCCCCTCACAGCCCAGCCAATGCCACACAGAGCAGGACTTTTCCAGCCAAGTCGGCCTGAGCTTCTCACTCACAAAAATGGTAAGATACAATAAAGTGATGATGTTCTTAAGCCGCCAGGTTTTGTGGTGGTTACACAGCCATGGGGAACTGGGGCAAGAGCACTGCTGATGCTCAGGCTGTGGAATCCTGAAGGTCTGGCCACAGTGATGACCAGGACCTTCCCGAGAAGGGCTGGAGGGAGCACCCATGTATTCACATACTGGCTTTATGGAACTTAAGAATGAGGGCGCCTGGGTGGCTCAGCTGGTTCAGCGACTGCCTTTGGCTCAGGTCATGATCCCGGAGTCCCGGGATCGAGTCCTGCATCGGGCTCCCTGCTCGGTGGGGAGTCTGCTTCTCCCTCTGACCCTCCCCCCTCTTATGTGTTCTCTCTCATTCTCTCTCTCAAATAAATAAATAAAATCTTAAAAAAAAAAAAGAATGAGGGCGCCTGGGTGGCTCAGTCGGTTAAGCGACTGCCTTCGGCTCAGGTCATGACCCTGGAGTCCCGGAATCAAGTCCCACATTGGGCTCCCTGCTCAGTGGGGGGTCTGCTTCTCCCTCTGACCCTCTTCCCTCTCGTGTTCTCGGTCTCTCATTCTCTCTGTCTCAAATAAATAAATAAAATCTTTAAAAAAAAAAGAATGATGGAGTCTGGGAGTGTGCCACAGATGCATGCTAGATGAAGAACAACCACAAAAAGATTAATGATAACAAAGAGGTAACCTGGTTGTAATAGAGTTAAGGTGAACTCTACACAGCAAAGCATGGATTTCGACTAGTAGAACAAGGGTAGATTCTGTTTAGTCATTTAAGGATGAAAGTGAATAGGGCTAACTATGGGCAAAATGATCAAATAGGTTAATTTCTCCTTCTGTCTTCTCTCCGCAGTATCAAGTAAAAAGATATGGTTTTGGGGCACCTGGGTGGCTCAGTCGTTAAGCGTCTGCCTTCGGCTCAGGTCATGATCCCAGGGTCCTGGGATCGAGCCCCGCATCGGGCTCCCTGCTCAGCGGGAAGCCTGCTTCTCCCTCTCCCGCTCCCCCTGCTTGTGCTCTCTCTCTCGCTGTGTCTCTCTCTGTCAAATAAATAAATAAAATCTTAAAAAAAAAAAAAAAAAAAGATATGGTTTCAATGATCAATGCATATAGTGTCAATCCATTTCTGTCAATACTTAATCTGGTAAAGCCTTAGAACTACAATGTACAATGAAAAATTTCCTATCTCAAGAAAGAATTTCAGGCAAAAGGGAGAAAGTAAGAGGTATTACTGAGGGGCAAGAAAGAATCTTCCTGTTACTCCAGAACTAACACCCAGTAACCATGAAGACAAACCTACTTTAGCCATTTCAAGGTACATGGACATGGGATGGTGACAGAATCAATCTGAAAGAAATGTCTGTGGTCTTAAGAAAATGTGATCTCTGTTATCTTGGAAGAACTGAATCATCCTGCTGCTGAAAAAAAGAAAATATATTTTAGTTTGGGGGGGTTTCTGGTTTATTCCAGCAATAGTTCTGGACTCCTCCTTCCAGCTAAATCTAAGCACCCAGATGGAAGGGATATAGAGCACCCAGCCAATGGTGTTCCTTCTCACACCCGCACACCACTCTTCAGGTGGGTCAATTCACAGCGTGTCAGTAGGTGCAACGAAGAAATGGATGTGCTACTGAAGAATCCCTCATATGGCAAGGATGGGGAAAAGCCAGAAAGCATGCTCACCCTCCCTGCGGAGCTAGATTCAGAACCTATAATTACCACTCCATGTCAGTGTGACAAACAATTAAAATGTATCAAGGAAAACTCTTAATAACAAAGCTGTTTATAGATACAGAAGAACAAAAAGAGAATAAGAGAAAACTTGGATTGGCTAGATAAACTGTACTAATTACAGTAATTTCAGTGAATTCCTTACCCTTAATTCCCATGTAGCACACAAATGATTATGTGTGCTATGAAATGCATGAGACCCAGCTGTAAGTGGCACTCAACAGTTCACACGTGCCAAGTCATGCATCACACACATGTGTATCACTCACAGATCTGTGGAAAAGGCAGCTGTCATGAGAATAACGATCTAAGTTCCCAGTTATCAGAAATAAGACTGAGAGAGCATGAGGGAGTGAAAATTCAGTGACCTGGAAGGAAAATGTTCTTTGGACTCTTCTAAACCTTGTACGGAGTATGGAAGGACTAGGGCAACTGATCCATAAGAGCAGTTTTTCTACAGTAAAGGAATCAAACAGCTGTTGCAAGGTGGTCAGGAGTGCACAATACACAAACTTTTGTGCCCAAAGCTGCACATCTTAACAGCTACGAGGCCATCGTATTTTCATCCGCCATGAAAACATCATGAAGCATCTGTAAAATGTTTTACGGAGTCTACCATTTTAGTTCCTGCTCTGGCAACCTACAGTGAAGCAGACACAGCGGCAGAGGGAGAAGAAACAACGAGAGGGCAAGGGAGAGAAACATCTCTGTGAGAGGGAAGTGGGTCCAGAACAGCCCAGCTGGAGACGTCACAGTGGGTTCTGTCTGGGAGAACTGCAAGAGACAGTTCGGGTCAGACAGGCAAAAAATGACGCTTAAGAACAGAGAAGCGTCTTGAGCAGGAAAACTCGTGAACTGCACACTAGAGAGTTTGAAATTTTCGCCTGAGAGAGTTAGGGAGCTTATTTAAGAAAGTATCATGTTTGTTCCTCTTCCTGTTTGTATTTTTAAAGATTTTTCTGCATACTGTACGATTCCATTTATATGAAGTCAAAAAAGCAGAAAGTAATCCATGGCATTAAGAGGCTAGCAACCATTCTTGGGGGGAGGGGCACAGTAACTGGAAGGGAATATGAGGAAGCTTCTGGAAGGCTGGGAATGTTATGTTGCTTGATGTAGGTGTTGTCTGTGAGCCCATAGATGGGCTCAGTCTGTGAAAAATTCACTAGCTATAGACGTATATTCAATAGACTTATTCAAATATAAGTTACACTTCAATAGAAAATTTAAAAAATGAGAAAGATTCCTCTGGCTGAAAACACAGAATGGGCTGAAAAAGACAGACAACAGATGATGGGAAGCCAGCCTAAGGGAGCAGTGAAGGGGCTGGGCATCACCAGGGGCACTAACACAACCAAGAAGGATTTGGTGGCTTAGCAGCCGTGGAAAGTGAAAGAATGAGAGGAGACAGAGAGGACCCCAGGCTGTGGGTTTGAAGACTGGGGGGATGGTGTGCTGTCAGCTGATAAAAGTCACGAAGGACAGAAGCCCTCCTGGCCTCCAGTTCATCTGTGAAACAGGCCCAAGGCAGCCCTTAAGGTCCCTGGTGACAGCCTGAACAACGAGAACTCAGCTCAGAGACAAGGAGGTGCCAGAGTCCAACCTGGCAGAAGAAAGAGAGGCTCCAAAAACTATTTCTGATGAAGGAGCAAAACCAAACAGACGTGAAACCACCATCCAACTGGTGTCTACTAAGTACTCACTCGGTCAAGAGTGCACCTCAGCAGTCCCCAGAGGGAGGGGAAGGTAGAGGAGAGAGAATACCTAATACTGCAGCTAAATCACCATGAAGACCAGGAGGCATCCTGGGAAGACACTGGGAAGTCTGAACATGCAGAACCTCCAGCTACTGTAACAGGAACCGGCAGCTGGGGGAGCCACCCGGAGGGACTGGCAACACCCCTCCTCCTCATGGGCGGCACCTATGCCCGATGGTGGGCACTCAAAACGGAGGTCTTGTGGCTTGAACCGGGTCATCTGTGGGTCTGTTATAAATCGTGCATCACAGATTAAACACTTGGAGAAGTAGTCTGCAGCAGCTGTACAGTCTGTGGGTATTAAAGACCATGAAAGAGTATCTTTACCAATGGATTAAGAACAGCTCAAGATAAAACGATTAGGTATGTTCCAGTAAATACTGCTCAAAACATGGGAATCTACAATGGAAGGAAACTACTTCGCAGGGTACGATGGAGAAGAGGTGAAAAGGGTTTTTTTAAAACTCATGCCTGGAAGGCTTTAAAATGCTAAATTAACACAAAGTGGGGAAAATAACATTCTCCTTTCTTCTTAAATATGCCACGAAGCCAATACTAGGTTATAAATAGAGAAAACCACCCCCAGAAAAGCTGGCAAATTCAAGAAGAAAAAGAGTTATTTTAGGTCCCCCTCTCTCCTTTCAGTCTGTAAGAGCAGGGTGAAGTATTTATACAAGGAAACAGATTTTTGTCTTAAAAATCACAAACATTTCAATCGAGCAGAAATTGGAACAATAGTCCGAGACAAGTTCTGCAGGCCAACACGAGGGACTTTAAGTTCTGTCCCCCCTCCCTGGAGTGTCCACAAGCCAAGAGCCGAGTGCGGAGTGGAACAAGGAATGCCTGGAAGGCAGCCCCCCCACCCCAGACCAGATCTGCGACTCGCACACCCCCGCCCCTCCTCCTGCCTGCGAATTCTTAACCTAGAAATGCCGGTCAAGCAGTCATCTCCCGTTGGGTACTACCATTCCCAATAACGGAAAACAAGGCGACCATTCACGGCTGAAGGGAGCCTGGCAAGGGCTGTGAGCAGCAAACCTTGGCTTTGGTTGCAGCTGAGGCGAGAGCAGCTGCGGCAGCCGTGGCCACATTTCCTTCGGAAATTTCGTGTTCTACTTTCTTCTTCCCGAGATCGCTTTCTCTTTCTTTACAAGTATCAGTGAGTTCCTTGTTCTCTTCAGTTTCCTTTTCTTCTGAAAGAAATCAGAAAGCTTTATTACCAGTGTGCCCAGCCTCAATAAGCCACCGTACTTCTCACCTCCGCCACATGACAAACTAGGACTGAGGTTACAAAGAGATCTCAGTGCCGCCGCCTTCTTAAGATTTGTGCAGAATCATTCCATGCATGTAAGTGCGCCTCTATCTGAGACGGATTTTCTGAATAGTACACTTTGTCTCCCCTTCATTTCTCTAAGCTCTCTGTGTAGTTCCCGAAGATACAAAGGGAACTAAGCCCGAAGACCAACAAGATCAGTCAATGCAATGCTCCCGGAAACCCTGGGGTCTGCAGGAAATCAGAAGCTGAGTACTAAGCACTTCTGCAAGCCACTGACTCGGAGACCAAAATGGCAGGTCTGCGTGGTGACTTCAGTCACACAGAACAACTTGTCTGTCTACATGCTACTGACACAAGGCAGCCCCTAGCATTAGCACTCGGAGCAAAATAAAACTCTAACGTGTATTTACTGTTACATTAAGAAACAAACCCAAAACGAATAAGGAAATATTTCTGTATAATTAAACTGCCCCCGCTTCTCCAGTGCTTTTTAGTTTTACATGATAAAGTCTAAAGAGGGGGTGCCTGGGTGGCTGTTGGTTAAGCATCCAACTCTTGATTTTGGCTCAGGTCGTGATCTCGGGGTCATGAGATCAAGTCCCACGTCGGGCTCCGTGCTCAGTGGGGAGTCTGCTTGAGATTCTCTCCTTCTTTCTCTGCCCCTCCTCCAGCTCTCTTGCTCTCTCTCAAATAAATAAAATCTTTTAAAAGTAAATAAAGTCTAAAGAGTTTCCTTGAATTACCTGATTTGGTATCCTCACTAACTTCACTGTCCTGCTCCTTCTCACTATTTTTTTCATTTTCTCCATCTTGTGCTTTATCCCCTTCGTCTGTTTCATTTTCCCCTTTGTTTTCTGCCTAAAAGGGGTACAAAAGAAGAGTGAGCAAAAACAGTCCTTCTACAAGTGACATTACCTTAGAGTAACAAAAGCCTCTACTATTTTTGGCAGGAAACGAACTAGGTTCAGAAGGGCCTTGGAGAGAAGAGCTGGAAAAGAAATTAATAAATTCAAAGAAATACCTTTCACTTCCTCAACACCTGAGTGCTCACAGGTCAATACGCCTCCAAAACACACAGTCCCTACCCTCTCTGTGCCCTCTGCTATAAAGCCAGGGTCAGAGTGTCCAAAGGATGTCATGGAAATTCATGTATATTACTTACTGGTTAAACAGAGAAAGGCTTCATAAATAAACAAATGAATTATCGACTACCTGTCCAAAAGGACCAAGAGCATTTAAACTGGACATGATCAACAGAGAAGCAAGATGGAATGCTGCCAAAATAAAAAAGCTGACAAAGCCCTTTAATACAGTCATTTGCTAACGGTTTTTAGGAAGAGTCACAACAGGGCATCAATGATTATGCTCTGGGGACCGAAAACTTCAATTCCTCTGGTCAGAAATTGGTTTCATTTATGGATTTTGAAATCCCTGAGACCTTGGACAAATCATGTAACACTGTCTATAAAATGAAGAGATTATCATTGACTTGATGAGACTGTTTAGGAACCAGATGAACTCATAAATCCGTAAATGTAAAGTACAAAGTATAATATTTAAAACAGTATAAGAACTATGATTTTACCTCATCCTCATCTAATTACAATTTTAAAACACATGGCAATCAAGACCTTAAATCCCAGCTTGTATATGTTCACTCAAATAGTGAATGAATGCTCATCATGTGCTCCTAATCTTATCTTTTCATTGAAGTATAGTTGACACACAAGATTTTATTAGGTTCAGGTGTACAACATAACAATTTGATAATTCTATACATTACACAATCCTGTGATAAAGCTAGTTACTGTCACCATACATTATGACAGTATTGACCATATTCCCTATGCTGTCAACCCCGTGACTTATTTATTTTATAATGGGAAATTTGTACCTTAATCCTCCTTCACCTACTCTGCCCATCTCTCTAACTCCCTTCCCCTCTGGCAATCACCAGTTTGTTCTCTGTATTTATGGGTCTATTTCTGTTTTGTTGTGAATGGCAAGATTTCATTCTTTTTTATGGCTGAGTAATAATATTCCTGTGTGTGTGAGATACACACCACTTCTTCTTTAACCATTCATCTATCAATGGACCTTTGTGTTGCTTCCATGTCTTGGCTATTATAAATAATGCAGTGAACACAGGGGTGCACATATCTTTTTGAATTAGTGTTTTCATTTTCTTGGGATAAATACCCAGTAGTGGAATTGCTGGATTATATGGTAGTTCTATTTTTAACTTTCAGAGGAAGCTCCACAGTTTTCCAGAGTGCCTGGACCAATTTACATTCCCATCAACAATACACAAGGGTTCGTTTTCCCCATATCGTTGCCCACACTTGCTGTCTTTTTGATATTAGCCTTTCTCATTGGTGTGAGGGGATATCTCGTTGTGGTTTTGATTTGCGTTTCCCTGATGATGAGTGATACTGAGCATCTTTTCATGTGTCTGCTGGCCATCTGGATATCTTCTTTGAAAAATGTCTGGTCAGGTCCTCTGCCCATTTTTAAATCATGTGCCCCTGATCTCGAAGACGCTGTAAAGTCCTGTTCTGCCTTAGTCACCAGGCATTCGGAGCCTCTTTGAGTTAGAGAGCGGGTCACAGACATGGGGCACTGTGATGGTGCCTTCTGCACACAGGCTTTAGTGTCCCTCCCCCACTGTTGGTCGGATCTTTGATTCCCTGTCCTCCGCTTCAATTCCAATCGTTATAGAGCTACCTGCTCTTTAAAACCGACCTCAAACATCATCTTCTCATTAAGACCTGTCTGATTATTTTCCTGCTGGCAGTTAACTCTCCTACAAAATCCCTTAATATTCTACAATTCTCTTCTGGCACAAGTACAAGACCAAACCCTTGTAATTCAATATTCATAAAAACCACAATTTTGTATTCATTTTCCCAACTGTGCCTGAAAGGGATATAAAAGAGGAGGCCGGGGAGTGGATAAATCTTCCCAGAATGAATCAGTGAAAAATGTCATATGTTATGCTTTGTGAGAATTACACCTTAAACCAGCAAAGTCCAATGGCTGAAAGAATCATTTATAATCCCCTGAGAGGGATCAAAGATCAAAATAAACCCAAACCGTTACGCTCTGAAAGGCATGCTCTCTCTTTGTCTTTCCTGTGGTAGGAGAATTCAAACAGACAGACTTCACCTTTTCAGGCTGTTGACCATCAGTATCTGTTTCCATTTTTTCCTCTTCAGCCCCTTCTACGAGCAAAAGAATAAGAACAAGTAACACAAATATGGAACAAAGGTAAAAGCTACCATACACCTGTGATGCTTGAAACACAAGTACGCACAATAATATGGATGAGTCTCCCAACTGTAAGGCTGACATAAGAAGTCTAGCATAAAACACAGGCTTTATGACTATATTAATTTCAAAGTTCAAAAATAGATGCAAGTAATCAATGGCGTTAGAAATCAGGACAGCGGTTAACCAGGGAAGGGGTGGGCAGACAGAAAATGATTCGGGGGGAGGGGGGGCCTGAGGTGCTGGTAATGATCTTTTTTTGATCTTAGGGCTGCTTACATGAATGTGTTTCATTTGTGAAAATGCATGGAGCTGCACACTGAGGGTTTTTACTGTTCTGCATATATAAAAATAAAAACCTCAAAAAAATTTTAAGTACAAAAAAGCAAAAAAAGAACCCCAAATAATTTATTACTATTTAACCAATGCTTAATGAGGATGTATTTTGAGTATTTTGCGTTGGGTACTGGAGAAATAATGCTGAGCTAGATATTCACTGAACCTCCAGAACATCCCATTCTGGATGGAGAGGACACAAAAGAACAAGTCCATCACAGATGTGCATGCAGGAGACGCTGTGAGCAGCACAGAGGGCACGACTGTTTCAGTTGGGGAAGAATAAATGGTTACAGCCATGCAGACATGACTGGGGCTGGGGGTGGGTAGTACAAGTATGGAGAAGGACATTTCAAGGGAAGAGACAGAAAGACTCAAGGGTGCGGGGAAAACGTCAGTCCTTTGTGATGACTAGGAAAGGGGAAGGGGGACAGATGGGAAAGATCAGAAGGAGGGACATAATGTTGGTAAGGGCCTCAGGAGGAAGAGCCCTGAATGTGGTACTAAGGGAGTCTTAACTATATATATATATAACTTAACTATATATAAGCTTACCTATATGCTTAACTATATGTAGCTAAGAAGTTAATGAAGATTTCAAAAACAACACAATCAGATAAATATTTTTGGTTTTACAATTTTATATAGAAACAAATATTTTATACATAATGAGGGTTTGCCATGGTTTTAAATAAAAACGTTCAAATATCCTACAGCTTTAATTTGAATATTATCCTCTTTAAATAACAAGACTAACAGCATTTATCCTCAATGAGAATACTTAAAACATATTTAAACAAACATAGTTTAAACTAATCATGTTAAAGTTATTGAATAGGAAAATCCCTCTTGCTCTAATTCTTACAGATGGAAGCAAACCTTGCTTTCAGAATTCTGACTGACCAGGAGCTCCAGGGGGCATGATAGTTTGGGATATCACAAATCTCACATAAGGTAGAAGATTACTACCTTCCAAAAAATGCCAAAAGACTACAGTGCCAGGAGTGGGGCCAGAGTGTGGAAGTAGCGGAGCCAGGCTCTGTATTTGGGATCCTGTACCTGGATGGAATATTTGGAAAGTTGGAGGGGTAGGGTCACACCCAGACATATTTGCTTTGAGCAGCTCAGCATCAGGAAGCTGAGCACTGGACTAGCCAGGTCCAGGGCAGGGAAAGGAAGCCAGGGATTCTACAGAGCCGGCCGGGGAGGGGGGGGGGGGGGGGGGCAAACGGGATCTCAAGCCAGTGGCAACCCCTGGCTACTAAGAGAAACAAAATCCTCTGCAGACAGTTTTTCCAACCCCAACTGTAGCTGTCCAAGTAATGAGCTCACAAAGAGCAAAACACCAAGAAAGGAAGCCACTAACACTGAGCAGAAACATCAATCAACAGTGTCAGCACTCAAGATTGCCAAGATGAGATCTGCCAGATCCCAAATCTAGCACAGCCATTGATATAACAGATAATTAAAAGAGAGAATAATAAAGATCTCCAAACCACAATATTAGAGATGTGCAGAGATTTTTTTTAAAAACCCAAAGATCAAAAAATTTTCTAGAAATAAAGTCAAGGGAAAGAGATTACACCAGGTAAAAAGAAAAGCACAAATAAAACACCTCTAAAGAAATGATCCATACAGAGACCACGAAAACGGGAAATACAAAAGCATAAAAGATAAGCCAGGCAAAAGCAAATCCAAGGAATGGTGGCGTCTTCATAGTACTATTACTTAATACAGGCATCAAGAATAGAGCATTATGAGAAATGGAGGGTGACAATGTAATGAAGCAAAGATTTAATTCACCAGAAAATTTTAATTTTTCATACTTTTAGGAACCTAATAAAAGAGTGTCAAACTATATAATGCAAAAACTGACAGAATGGCAGGACAGAAATGAAAATGTGCCTCACAGTGGGGATTTGAATATACTTTACTCAATTAAGATCAACAGTGGATGTAAATGCAGCAAGATGGGTTCTATGCCCACCAATCAGATAATATATACGTATTTAATTTCAAGCTTACACATTACGTTAAAAAATACTGGTCACAAATTAAGTCAAAGAGCAAATTTTAACATTTTTCAAAAAGTCAGTGACATACAGCCCAAGGTTTCTCACCATAAGGCAATGAAATTAGAAGTTAGAAGTTTAAAATATATAGATAAATTTCTCTGTGCTTAGAAATGTAATTTTGGGAGTCAGTAAAAATAGCACAAAGAGGGAAATGGAAATGTAAAGCCTTCTTGAACTTACATCAGAAAAGTAAAAAAAGCTTGATGTTTACAAGCTCTATATTCTTGAGAAGAAGCAGAAAAAGAATAACAGAATATAGAAGGTACGGAGAAAAGCGTAACAAGGATAAAAATCAAAGAAATAAAAAGCAAAAATACGACAGAGTTAAAACATACAATAGAGAGACTCAATATACCCCAAACTTGGTTCTTTGAAATAATAAAGTTGATAAATTGATGTGAAAGATCAAGAAAACTGGGGCGCCCAGGTGGCTCAGTCATTAAGCGTCTGCCTTCGGCTCAGGTCATGATCCCAGGGTCCTGGGATCGAGCCCCGCATCGGGCTCCCTGCTCCGCGGGCAGCCTGCTTCTCCCTCTCCCACTCCCCCTGCTTGTGTTCCCTCTCTCGCTGTGTCTCTCTCTGTCAAATAAATAAACAAAATATTAAAAAAAAAAAAAAAGATCAAGAAAAGACAAAGAAGGCACAAATTAATTATATAAAGACTGGAAGAAAGGTCATAACTATTAATAAGGTCAATATAGAAATGACAAAGTACTGCCAAAAAACCTTATGCCAAATAGAAAAATTAAATGGACAAATAATTAGAAAATGCATTTTACCAAACAGATTCAAGAAGAAAAAGAAGTCCTGAGTAGGCCCATAACAAAAAAATAAAATAATTAAAAAACTTAAAAAACCAAACCACCACAGGTCCAGGTGTTTTTACTGGGGGAATTCCACAAAACTTCCAAGGAATTGAGGATTACCATCTTACTTAAACCTTTCTAGAGAAAAGAGAGAATACCCCCTAATTCATTCTATGAGGCCAGTATAACCTTGATTTACAAATCAGATGCAGACAAACAGATAAGGGATAGTAGAGCCACGAGGCTAAATCTCACTCATAATCACAAATGAGAATCTCCTAAGCAAAAAAATCTGAAAACAGAATACAGCAGTGTATAAAAAAGGCACCACATTATGACAAATTAATATGACAGTATCAGAAAGATAATTTAACATTTATGAGTCTATAAATTTATAGACTTACTTGATCATACCCATGAACTATCTGTTAAGACTCAGTATCTTTCATGACAAGCTCCTGGAAAACCAAGGATACAAGGGAAGTTCCTGAGCCCCCAGAAGACTGTTATCAATAATCATACAACAAATGTCATCCTTCCTGGAGAGATGCCTACAGTATCTCCTCCAAAATCAAGAGCAGGACATGGGTAACAGTATTACCATGTCCCTTTAATGCTGCCAGAGTGGTTGTACCCCAAAGTAGTCAATTAAGAAAATGAAGCAAGCAGTTTGATTATAGAGAATAAAACTGTATACCTAAAAGAATCTGCCAAAAAGTTACTAGAAATAATCACAGGGCAAGGTGGTTAGTTATAGAATTAACATACAGAAACAACCACTTTTCCCCATGTTAAAAACCAATTCTAGATAAAGACACGTGAAAAAAACAAACCTGAATATTTCCAACACAACACAAAAAGTGCTAATCATAAAGGACTAACTTCACTCTATTATTTTTTAAAATAGATTTTATTTGTTTGCTTGCGAGAGAGAGAACATGAGTGGAGTGAGGAGCAGGGAGAGGGAAAGAATCTCAAGCAGAGGGCGCCTGGGTGGCTCAGTTGGTTAAGCGACTGCCTTCGGCTCAGGTCATGATCCTGGAGTCCCGGGATCGAGTCCCGCATCGGGCTCCCTGCTCGGCAGGGAGTCTGCTTCTCCCTCTGACCCTCCTCCCTCTCGTGCTCTTTGTATCTCATTCTCTCTGTCCCAAATAAATAAATAAAATCTTTAAAAAAAAAAAAGAATCTCAAGCAGACTCCACGCTCACCCCAGAGCCTGATGTGGGGCTTGATCCCACAACCCTGAGATCATGACCTGAGCCGAAATCAAGAGAGTCGGTCGCTTAACCGACTGGGCCACCCAGGAGCCCCAACTTCACTCTATTAAAATCAAGGACTTCTTTTCATTAAAAGATGCCCAAAAGAAAGAACAAGTAACCAAACAGGAGAAAACACAGGCAACTAGAGCAGTGTATCAGATTTATAAAGCAAACCATAAGAACTATTAAAAAGTGAGCAAAAGACAAAGTAGTTGTGTTATAGAATGATGTCTGTATGACCAGTAAACAGAAGATACTCAAATGAGTTACAGAGAATTGTAATTTAAAACCACAATGGAGGAGCACCTGGGTGGCTCAGTCCGTTAAGCGTCCGTCTTTGGCTCAGGTCATGATCCCAGGAGTCCTGGGATTGAGCCCCGGGTTGGAGCCCTACATCGGGCTCCCTGCTCCACAGACAGTCTGCTTTTCCCTCACCCTCTGCCACTTCCCCTGCTTATGCGCTCTCTCTCTCAAATAA